TGCTTAGCCTTTTGGTTCAAGTTCTCCTAAGTTGCAACACCAGTGCTTGTTTATGTTTCAAATGATTTTCTTATTTTCCTAGCATATGCCTCTTTCATCAAGGTCTTAATACGCTTTTGGGAGTTGGATATTTTTGAAATTGTTTTTGTTTTTTGGCAGGCTGAGAAGATTGCTTCAAAAATGATATATGAAGATCGAATGAGGGGCTCAATTGATCAAGTATGGTTAAATTTGATCTTATGAATCGTCTTTGAACTTTACTAATTGAAAATTATTAATGGCTGGGGATGAAATTTGAATGTGAGTGTATTGATAGAGTTATGTCCTTTAAAAGGGAAAATGAATAACGGTTCTTGTACAAAAAAGTAAATCGATAGATAAATTAGTCATTCTTACACAATCCATATTTTAGAATGTGAGGTATGATTGTTGCTTTTCCAGTGGTGAGCATGACATGAACTGGGAATAGGAAAATTTGTGTTCTGATTGTTATGTATCCAAGATCCATCTTTGTTATTTCAAAATTTTCGATTTGTATGGTGTCCAAAATGGCAATATATTCTGGATGCGTTATAAGAATATGGATTTTGGGTAGGATTATTCAAAAAAAAACAAAAAAAGCAACATAATTTGTCCATGTGGGACACTGCTGAAAGGTCAAACATAGTTAATAAATACCCATGGCATAGCACAAGACCTTGGATGATATCATATTGCTCTTGGTGGACATCTGATCTAAACCTGGTATGGAGTAATAGATGTTATAGTTCTACTCTCCTTTGCCTTTAAAAGATATTCATGTTTGGGTTGACACGAATATTAAGGATTAGTGTTTACTGTGAACTATAATTTGTTAATGGATAGAGAGAAATTGCTAAGAGAAAATGTTATGGTAGAGAGAGAGAAAGAGTCAACGTGGCTGAAAGAAAATGAAGAGATTTCTTGAACCCAAATAGGCTGTGAAAATTATTGAGGGACCGAGGGAGTCTTTCTTTTGAAGTTGGGGTATTAATTTATACAGCAGAGTTAGAAAAGTAGTTGGCTTGCTTTGTCTTAATATGTGTTTGTGGTCGAATAATTCATGCATCAGGTGGAAGCTGTCATACATTTTGAAGACGACACAGAGGAACTGCAACAGTGGGACCAGCAGGTAATTCCTATCGTGTCTTGCTTGGAATTTATCTTTTCCATTTTCCTTTGACCCCCCCCCCCCAAAAAAAAAAAAAAAGAAAACCCGGCCTGGGGGAAAATAGATGTAAAGGAAAGTAAAATATGAATTTACAAAGGTTTGAGCCGGGGCTGTCTTTTCACGCAACAACACCTTGATTGCACATGGGTTCTTTTCATGCCCAGCCAGCCAGCCAGGGCATTTGTGCGTATGATAGAATATTTAGGAATCCCATATCACTTCTTTACGAGAGTTTGAAATGATAGAATCTAGATCGTGAAACATCACTGCCTAAAGAAGCCATTATCAGAGTTACAACTTTCTTGATCACTAACTGGTTTACAGTCTCCTTGTGTACATTAAAGTTTGTGCTGCATTCGATTTGTGCTGTCTATATTTGTGCTGCATTCGATTGACTGTTATAAACACCCTTAATTTGAGGCAGCTATGTGGATTCTCAAGACACTTTTTTTACATCTACTTTGCTCAAAGCTCATATGTACAAGCAAAGTGACTAAGCAATCATTTGTACCAATCTCGGCTCCCTCCATGTAAAGACACGAGGATCGTTAAATTTAAAATATGTAATCTGGGATAATATACATGTAACCAAGCATTTAATACATATTTTTAAACTTCTACCAAGACAATCAGTTACCAAGAATAATTATTGAGATGAAAGATGGTCACCTTGTCTGAGTTTCTTCTTGCCTTGAGGCTTCCCTGTAATAAAACATTGGGAATCTTAAGATCCTATCTTCAAAACTCTCAGGCTATCTCAAAGTAAATCATACTGCCTTTTGAAAACTCTTGAGGCTGGAAACTGTTTAGTAGTCATACAAGTTTTGTTGATTTCAAGCTTAATTCTTTTATCCCTCTTAGCTCTTATTCCGATATATACACATGCGTTGAATGGAGACATAGTAACATAGGATGCAGATAAAGTGAGGGGAATGGGAATGGAAAATTCCTGCATTTGTTGGGGACTTGGGGTAGAGTACAATACCATGGTTTGGCATGCTAATACATTAAGCTTTTACTTTTTTTTTTTTTTTTTTTTTTTTTTTTTTTTTTTTTTTTTTTTGGGTTAACGTTGCTTGTGAAACTCTGCAGATTGTTGGCTTATGTCAGTCCCTTAATGATATCCTGGATGGCATGGCGAAGAAAGGTTATCAAATTCCTGTTTGATCAGGATGCAATTCAGTGGCAGGCTCACAGCTGCTGGAATTGTTGAGGCTTAAGGCTTTTGGCATGGCAATTTAATTCTTACATTATAGTTGCTCCTGCATTTGCATACAAGAGCAATCAGCTTCTTTGGTTGGGCTTTTCTTCTTTGGGGAGAGAAGGCGCTAGATAGGGTGTATAGAAATCTCACTTGATGAAACTGATTCTAACTTGTCGAGGAAGCCATCATTTTGCTAAGATCCCGTCTTCCTTTTTTAAACTCGCGTGTCCATCTGCTTCTGGTGGACAGTATCAATACAAATTGTTTCATTTGCACAGAAAGTTCCTGATTTTTATTCTTCTCAACCAATTTTGGTTGTCAATTTTTCTACTGCTTGTTTTCCGTATTGACAAACTTAATGCATTTGGGAAATTCAGTTACTCCAGGTTTTGTATTGTATTGGATTTTTTGTTGGATGATATCCCCCTCCAAATCTCCAATTGATGGAAATTATGGTGTCCTTGTATAAATTATCTACTAAAATAAACAAAGTTTTACTGTAATCCGCATCACCTTGTATAAATGATCACAAACCAACCAATGCAATTGTGTGCACGTTGAACGCCCTGAGCATGCTTTCATAACACAACACTGTCTTATACTCCAAAAGATTATGCATATATTCATGAGAGTAAAACCACTTTGCATTTCGTTCATTAATTTCCAATTTTATGTACACTATCTGTCTTTCACCTTAAAATGTTGCACATGCTACGAACTTCCTCCGTTTCACATTATGTGTAACAAACCTTGTTGCACGTACAGAAAGGGAGAAAATTAATCAACCACCACTACCAACTGCCATGGCCTCCCTCCGACACCACCCACCCACCAGCAACAACATCCACCCACTCCCTGAAATCACCACCACCACCACCACCACCTATCCCGTAACCACCCTCTCACCACCAACATGACCCGAACCCCACTACCAAATCGCACCAACACCGCAACCATAACCTAATCACCTAAAACTCACCCCAACCAAATCGCACCAACACCGCAATCGTAACCCAATCACCGCAACCAAGACCTGAAACTCCTCCATAACCACCCAAAACCAACCTCGTCCAACTCACAGCCACCACGTACAAACCCTAATCAATTATTAGGGTTTTAATTTTGAGGAGAATCGGCGGCTATAACAAGGGGAAAAGGAGCCGGCGGCGACTTTGACAAGGGAAAAGGAGACCGATGACTAGATAGGCGGTTTTTGTGAGAGAAAAGAGAAGAAAGAGAAGCAATAACAAGGTTCGTGGTGGCTGGAGGATTTCTGGGAATTTCGGGCGACAGGGGTGGAGTGAGGTGGTGCTTAGGTGGATTCGAGTTTGGGGGTGGCCTACTGGGTGGGGATTTTCGGGCTGGGTCATGGCCATGATAGAAGAGTGAGAAAAATAGTGGTGGTGGTGGTAGCGGCGGCAGCGGCTAAGAGGGAGGTGAGAGAAAACTTGGTGATGATGATGGTGGATGTGGTTGTGAAGGAGTAGAGAGATTAGGATTAGGGTTTAAATCATGAATGAATTAATGTAGCTTAATATGTTAATAACATAGTTCCTCTATTCTTTTTTACTTGACTTTTTCTTTTATCACGCTTGCTAATGCAAAACTTTAACGATAATTGTAATTCTTCATAAGTAAAAATTATAAAAGTTAGTATATTATGATAGTACTTATTGAGACAAATTCAAAAAGATCCCACATGAATATGTTTTTCCTTAAATATTATTTACAAAAGACTCTCAAAAGAGGTGTGGTGAATAGTGTAAAAGTCAAAGCGGGTCAAGTAAAAAAGAACAGAGGAAGTATAATCTTATTTATTTAAGTGGGTTATTGAAATTAAGTAAGGGTAGATCGTTCATTTTATACAAAAAAATTTACCATGAATGAAAATATTTACTTTGTTGCACATATTGTGTAACTTCCGTTTTTGAAAATTATTGCACATAATATAAAACGGAAGAAGTATAACATTGCATGAAATTGAGACTACAAGGCATCCATGATTCCATGGATCACCAAGAGTCCAAGAGCAACCCTCAATACTATGGAAGCATATTGACCGAACTTCAGTTTCCTGCAATTAAACACCCATAAATTTATTATATTTACTTTAACTATGTATGAAAGGAACATTCTAAAACCATAAAAACGTGACAAAACCTCTAACAAATGGAGAATTCATAGTAACACTTAAAGAAAGATACACTTCCTAGTTCTTCCTATATGAAAAATAAATCCTCTAATTGTTAACCAGGTTCACATAACTATGACATGAAAAGTCTTTTATACACAGTTTCTGATTAATTATGATTGGAATTAAAGTGTCAACAAGGTGATTACTAAATAGTCTATTATTCTCATTCTAAATACATAATCCGTCTTCATACATTTTTTAACAGATTGGAGGAACATTCGAAAATTATCCTCTAAGTAGTAATTTAGGGTATAATTACTATATCACGTAGCGATTTAAATGTATTAACTATTAAGTGACAATTATACCTTTAAATAGCGGTTTTTACATTTAAGTTAAAAATTATACTATACCACGGAGTAATATTTATTTACTTATACAATTTAGCCATTTGAGATATATACTCGTATTTCATTTATCATTACGGAGTACGAGAAACATTTCTCTTTTGTTTTCTACTTTTAAAACCCTTTAAACCCTCAAATCACCTTGTTCATCTTCTCCATTTCCAAAATTTCACACCACCTCAAAAAAACCTCCAACAATGGCGTTTCCTCAACAACTTTCTCTCTCCTCTACCTCCTCTCTCTTCTCTCCCCACTTCAAAACCTCAATACCCTTTTTCAAACTCCCCTTCAAAACCCCAAATCAGCTCACTTTCAACTCTCTACCTTCTTCTTCTTCTTCCTCTTATTCTTCTTCCGAAGAACAAGCCATGCTCGAAGCCGTGGCTCGGTCGCAGGGCAATTCACTCCCTTGCGTTCGCACCTATGAAAACGACATGGCGCGCCTTTCTCTCACAGGCTCCGTCGCTTTCGAGCAAGCCCTTACTGCCGCCGCTTCTGACGGCGGAGAAGCCGCCGGTGAACATGTTGATGCTGGGTTGTCTACCATGGTTGTTGAAGCCCTTTACCCTGGTCCTAATGATGAGCATAGCACTGTTTCTACTAGGCTGGTTAGTTTGAACTTTAATCGGATATTATTATGCTTTGATTTAAAATTATGTTTCTAATGAATGTGTGATTTTGTTTTTGTTGTTGTAATTGATGTTGAGATAATTTGAGAAATTATTGTCCTTTGCAAATGTGTTAAATTGGTATGATGGAATTTCATTTTATTAGTCATTTGTTAGAACTGTGTGGTGATTAGAGTATGCCGATTATACACCCGGGTGTACTTGTTAATGATATGTCAACCCCCCGATGAGTGTAAGAAATTGGGCAATATAACATGAGTATTTTGAAAGAAATTGAGCATGAACTTTTGATTTGGAAGAAAATGGGCATGAGTTCTATAAATTAATGTGGAAGAATGTGGGTGTATAATGTACTCATTTGGGCATAATAAAAAGAGAGAGAGAGCTCATTGCCAAATGCACGTAATTATTGGTAAAATTGTTGCCCTTTGAATTATGGAACTGATCTAGGTAGTGTCTTGCCACTTTGCCAGTTATGTGAACCTTTTGCTGTTCTGACTCCTTCAATGTGCGGTAAAGGTGTGGATTCTGCCAATTAAATGAGAATTGAGGCAACATAATCATATTTTGTTGTAAGTTGTTGTACGAGGAGCTGAGGTATTTACTGAGTGCGAAGTGGATTGAGAAACTTTCATTACACTCCCACATTTCTTAGGAAGGATGTCACTTTTGTCTTTAGGTGGATATTGAGAAACATGAATGTCTAAAATAGCTTCTTCTTCTTCTTTTTTTTTTTATTTTTTATTTTTTTTTATTTTTTATTACTTATTTATTTATTTAATTTTTTTTTAAAGAAATGTATTGTTTTGGACCTTTTGATGACTATCGGTTTAGATTAGGTCAATTGATATATAGGTGAACTGAGTTGTTACTTAGGGAAGCATTTGGGTTTGGGATGAATACCCAGAAAATTTAATATTTTTTTAGGGCTTTCTTCTTTGTTCAATGTAAGTGTTGTTTCACATCAAATCTCTTAGCACCAAATTCTATTTGATTTGCACAGGATTATCTATTCAAATAAGGGTAGATTCTCTTAAATTTCATTTCTGAGTACTGGCCTCAAATCCTATGAATGGAGGGAATTCACATTGTTTACAGATTTCCAAAAAATACATTTTCTTTTTACCATTTTGAAAGTTGATATTGCCCATTAAGATGGAATAGATTTTGCTTGTAATAGAAACTTCCTTTTTTTTTTGTTTGGTTTGGGAAGATGGTTAGGATTGGGTGGAGAAAAAGATCAATAATCCTAGGAGACATAAGGAGCAAATGAACAGAAAAAGGTTTGCAGTGAAGATCGACCAAACACCATAGAGGTTCGTCCGAACTGACATTGAGAATTTCAGCTCAAACAATCTGTGCAAATGTTTGGCCGAACATTGCTAGAGTTTGCCCGAACCTCCCTGGTTTGCCCGAAAAGTGGGAAGGTTCGGCCGAACCTCCTACCTCTGTTTTGATCAGTTGATTTCATCTTATTTGCGACGTGCTTTATTGCTAGCCCTTGGATTGTTACGTAATACCTAGACTATATATATTGTTTCCATTCCTCTTTATTAGGTATTCACAAAATATTAAACACATTTGAGGGTTTATGATAGGTTTTGTGAGGAGCATTTGAATACCACACTATTCATGCTTGTAATCTCATTTTCATTCATCATCAAAACTACTCCATAGTGCAAGGTGGATTTTTTCTCCCGTTTCTCGGGTTTCCCACAGTAACATCGTATCTGTCTATATTGGTATTATTAAAATTAGAGTCTTGCTATAGGTTTAGTTCATCAGTTGTAACTTGTAAGGATGTGTACATTTGGTCCTCTCAAGATGGCAAGGCCTACTAAATTACCAGTGGTAGAGGGGCTAGGTGGTTGCTGTGCCTTGGTGCCAATATGTCATGAATCATGGAGCATATCTCAGCATTTCGGCCCTTACTTTTGGCAATATCAATCATGACAAGTGCAATCAAGAAACATTTTGACTTCATTTGTGGTACTTAGTCAAGGACTTAATTTTACACCTTGATTCCTTTCTGCAAATCACCTCAGACTGAATTATATGCTGTGCAATCCAACTGGTGTGCTTACTGGTTTTTCATTGTTCTTAATGATGCCAAAAGCAAATGTAGGATAATGTCTGATGAAGCTTATTTCTAATCTTTTGATTAATTGTTGAGTATCTGTTTTTTGTGTTTCATAGTTTCTCCCAGCTAAGAAGGTGAAAGAGAAAGCAAGGAAGCTACGGAGTTCCCTCCCGGGAGATATGCTGTCTAGTACAAATTCAAGTAATATACTTGCAATGACTTTTAGACAAGTTGTAGTTCAGGAGCTCTGGAACTTTGAATTGGCAGTTTTTCGACCTGGATCACAAAGAAATATGGAGGATCTTGGAAGCCCAAGAGAGGTCAAGCTTTGTTCCTTACTAGTATTGTTTTGACAACATTGTGATAAATATCAACCTTTCTCAGTTGTAATACCACATAAAACATGTTTGGCCTGCAGGTATCACATGGTACTGATTGGTTCAGTTCTCTTATGCCTTTGCCATCGGCAGGTTACTGCTTCTTTTGTTCTCAGCTCGTCAGATGATAAGGTCATTGCTGGACTTGCAGAAGCTGTTTGCATGTTGGCTCTAGAAAGCACTCAAAAGGAATTCTCTCAGGAATCAGCAGGGAAGGCATCAGATGGTCTTTTCAATTGGTTTTCAAAAACTAAGCAGTTTTCATCAAAAGATTCATCAGTGATGATACATAGGTTTGAGGATAAAATAATTGAAAAGGCCAAAAGCCTTTTTGATAAGTTCAACGTGGTAAGAGCAAAGTATAAGATGACAAACAAGAAATCAACGAATTCTGCATGGACGCCATTGATGCAATCTAAATTGGAAAAGATTGGTGGATTTGAATTTAGTATGTGGACAATGGAGTATGTACCTGCTTATAAGCTTCAGATTGATGCTGATAGACTCACTAATCTGAAGTTTGAAGGATGGAAAAGGACTATGGGAAATTGTTGGGAAGTTTTCTTAACCCATTCACAAATGGTAATCCCCCCCGCCCCTCTTAATTTGTTATAAGATTTGTCGAGGAAATACATCCATTTTCTATTTACTTTGTTATTTTTGGACAAATGTATTGCAGTGTGCAAGTATCAAGTAAAGGTGTTCTCATGAGAGCTGGTGCATTTTGTGTATTGAGAGGGAGTTGTTTTTTTTTTTTTTTTTTTCAGTTGGGGGGGGGGGTGCGGTTGGGTTGTGGGGGAGCAAAGGAAATTGATTTTACGATAAAGGAGAAGCCTGGAATCAAATATTTAAGGGTGATGTGAGAAGAGATAGTTGTATAGGGAAGAATAGGGAGGCCGGAGGCAGGTAGAGTGCTAATGTATTTTGGTAATGTATATGGGATGGGAATAGGAAGTGAGGAAGATGGCATTATGTTGTTTGACTGGTGTGACTTCTAGACGTTATATTTTAATGTATTTTTTTAATAAAAATAAAATCAATGTTTTTATTTATTTATTTTTTATTTTTTAAATGTAATCTTTCATACTCCACCTTTTAGTTATTTCTATAGCTTATTGTTAAGCAACACAAACTCAGATATGTAGTGGGCTTGGGAAGACTGAGATTTGTTCTGGAATTTTATGGCCAGGTAGGTTGAACCATGGTAACAGAATAATAAGAAGTATGAAATAGAATATCTGGGTTGAATGAAAGTTAGTCAGATGGATGTTTCATTTTTGGGATAAAGAAGGCTACGGGCCTTGTGAGAGGTTATTAAAGTAATTTACTTTACCAAATTTAAAATATAAAATAATTTAAAGCTTAATAAGTATTATTGGTGAAGGATATTCGCTTCATGACAACAGTAATGCCTACTTCATATACTTGACAAATGTGACTATTTGCAGGTTGGATTGGCTAACATTCTAGATATATATTTCGAGGATGTCTGCACACTTCCCGGTAAACAACAGCTATCATGTGATGCTGTCAGAAGTCCGAAAAAGTTGTCAAAGAATAAGGTGTGAGTATGCAGTTATATATAATTCCCAAGCTCCCCTAGGAATGCAGTCTTGTGTAGTGAGCTTGATGAAGATGTTTACTTCCCTTTTTTTTTTTTTTTTTTTTTTTTTCCTTCTGTATTATTGATTGCCTTTTGCTTTTAAGGTAATGACTTCATCAAATAATAGTTCTAATACCCATATAAAATGGTTAATGAGTAGGAAATGTTTGATAACCCCTTGCATGTGAGTGTGTAGCTTATTGTTAATCAAAAATATTGCGTGATTCCATCTGTAATCTTTTGATTACCTCTTCCTTTCTTTTGCTCAGAGGGTTAGGGTTTTGAGGTTGGGGGAATAGCTTTGGAACTATTTTGATACCTTTTCGATCCTCTGTTTACCTTTCTAATCCAAATCTTCTGGCTTGATTTCTGCCAGGGAGGTTTTTCTTTGGTTGGTTTTCTGAGAACCACTCTTATCACTGCAACTCTACTGGTTTCTGTTGGTGTGCTGATCAAACTGTTTATGCCACATCTGAACATTACTAGAAGAAGATATCCGGGAGAAAATTATGTGCTTCCATCCTCAGAGAACAATTGTGAACAAGTGTGGTCTCTGAAATTAGAGGATTCTGAGGTATATGACTGAAAATAGCGTAATTGTCTATAAGCTTATATGTAGACTTTTATGCGAAGTCTGTTCATTGGTGCAACTCTGTTAAAGATATCATGAGTGTTTTCTAATAATTGATAATGCTGGCAGTTTATCATTTAATCATAATTGTTTGTAACTTTCTTGTTTTGATGGCTTTGTTTAACAAGGCAACAAGGTCGTCTAAAATTCTTATGAGTTGTGCTTCTTTCCTCTTTCGGTCCTTTCTAAGGTTGTTTTTGCGGTTTTTGATTTGGGAAAATCATCTTATAGCAATTGGATTTATCTTTCACAGCTGGATGCTTATTGCTCTGCAATTGTTAAAAAGATTAAGGATTCGTATGGTTGGAATGGAGAAGTAAAATTTGAACCAAGTGTTGGCGCTTGGATTGGGGAATTTCCTGTGTATTTAAGGTATAATCATGAAGCTGATCCCATTGATCAAAATATTACTGGCAGTTCTGAAGTGTCTGCAACAAATAAGGAAGAGCTGGAACCGTCTGTCCAGGAAATTGCTAGTTATCAGGTATGTTTCATTTGCTAATTTCTTTTCTTATCCTTTGATCAGGCAGTCACTCTGTAACAGTGATGAATATCAGAAGTTCAGAGCCAATTATTTCACATAAAGTGGACTTGAGGAATTTGATGGTAAAATCATGAATTTGATCCCTTTGATTAGGGCTAAATGGCTAATCATGTTTGAACAGAGTGTTTTTACTGAAACTTTTAATGTTACTTATCAAATCTTATTTTTATTGATTAAAACTAAAAATTGATGAATTCTCTTGTGTTTTTCTCATATGTAGTCATTGAACTACTGATCAAAGCTGACCTTTACTGATCAGAATTGTTTTTAAACGAATTTCATTTTCTAAAGTTTAAGAGAACAGGCTTGTCCAGTTAGGTTTTAAATTTCCAATTTGACTGCTATTTGCCTAAAACTATGTGCTTAGTTTTATTGTGAGAGGCTAGAATGCTAATCAAATATATTTACAGCTATATCAAAACATTTGACATCAAGAAGTCAAGAATTTTTAGGGGACTTTTAGGGGAGCTTTTTCCCCTAAACCTCTGTAGTTATGCATAGATTTGTCCCAACATTTCCTATCATGTAGCTGAGAATTTATTGGCAAGTAACTCATACTGTGGCGTAAATGTTTTTGTAGAGGTGAACTAGTACTGTGATCAGTGTGATAGTGTGATGTATAATTCACTGCTTCTATAGATTTGTTAAAGGACCTTGTGGTTTAATTGTCGAGTGAATACAGATAGTTTTGTCGCCTGAGGGAAGAATTGTTGGGTTCCAGCCTACGAGTCTTGTGGCAGTTAATCACTGGTCAAACAATCCGATAGCCAAGGAGCTGTATGGTGGCAAGGAGCTGTCCCCTGGTATGTATCAGCTGCTCTTCATATTTTGCTGCCCTCTCTTGCTGATTTCCTACCTTTTTTGAGCATTAGTTGAACTTCAGGGCTTTTGGAACCTCGTCTAAAGATCCACAAACCCGAGAAGGTGATTGTGCTGGAGTTATTGATGTCATTGAATCAAGATAATCATTTTGCATTGGTCAGACAAATGCAGTGAGGCCATTGGCTGTTGTTTCTCCAATGTAAGTTCTGACCCTAGCATAAGTTAGATCACAGGAAGGTGTACTCATAATTTCATAAATAAATGGAAGGGATAAAATCTATTTGGGCTTATGCGAATAATCTAGTTTTATGAGATTTTACCCACCAATCCAATTTTTTTGCACCTTGGCAGGGTAACTTTATTCAGAAAATTGTAAAATGACAACAGTGGTGAATTGGCTTTTATCACCCCCTACATTGAGTACATTCCTAACAAGGAGTAGGGTTGTAATTGCAAGCGTAAAAGCATGCCTGCTGTTCATGTCCTATCTGGAAGTTGCTTTGTTATCTTTGGTCGCGGTGTTGGTTTCAGATACTGTTTAAGAAGTCAGTATAAGAAACAGAATTTTTACTTGAAGTACCAGAGTCAAAGTGACTAAGCTCAAGTTAGAATGTGGGGACTGAATCTGTTGCATACAGAAATCAAAGTTTTAGTTGGATGGTGAAAATCAAAAGAGATCTTCCTGATGTTGACGCTACTTCCCTAGTGCTCATCTTCTTCACTTCATTCTTGGTTGGAAAATTGCTTCTTTGTCAGTCATGCTTCAATCAAAAGTTGTAATTAATTTTGGCTTGAAATGAATGGAGTTGTTACATATGAGAAGATACAATTGACAAGCTCAGATCAAACGTGTAATAGTGCCTTGGATTATTAGCATTTTTGTGCACTCATTAGGTACACTTGATAGCATGCATCTTGTAACAAACACTATAGTTCTAAATTATGTAATTAAAGATATTGTTTATCAAGATTGTGTGTTGGAGACCGTGCAAAAATAAAATAAGACTAACATAAAAAAAATTAATAATAATGAAAGTAGTAATATATTGCCATTGATAGGTACATTTCAGTTATAATTTCCAAAATTGATCATGCCATATAGATCATTGTGAAAAGGCTGTCCTCTTGTATGCAAGGCCTGATAGCTTATAAAACATGCAAGGAGGAATGCACAAATAATACACATTAGAAAAAATGTCCAAGGAAAATGGCATTGCTAATGGCAATGGAAACTGCAAGCATTTGCATATAGCTATGTGTCCATGGTATGCTTTCGGTCACATTACTTCTTTTCTCCACTTAGCCAACAAACTTGCTGAGAAGGGTCACAAAATCTCGTTCTTCCTCCCAACCAACACCAAACACAGATTTGCCTCTCACAACCACCACCCGAACCTCATCACTTTGATTCCTCTCACAGTCCCAGCTGTTGATGGATTGCCTGTTGGAGCTGAAACAACTGCGGATGTGCCTGCCTCTTCTCGGCCCCTCATTATGGCTGCCATGGACCAAACTCAGGATACAATTGAGTTTTATCTCTCTAGTCTTAAGCCTGATTTTATCTTCTTTGACTTCACTGAATGGGTGCCTAAATTAGCCCGAAAACATCAGGTTAAGTCTCTGTTTTATTCCACAGTGTACCTAGTGACAGTTGCTTACTTGCTCCCTCAGCCAAGGAATCTGCCTATCAACTCTTTCTCAGAAGACGAAATGAAGAAGCCCCCACCAGGATTTCCTTTACCTTCTGTAAGGCTGCGAGCCCATGAAGCACACAGTCTGGCTGGAGCATCTGAAGCCGAGTTTGGAGGCAGTGGGCTATCATTGTTGGAAAGAGTATCGGTAGCTTTCCAACAGTGTGATGCTGTTTGTATCAAGACTTGCAGAGAGATGGAAGGGCCTTATTGTGACTTTGTACAGAAGAATTATCGCAAGCCTGTGCTTCTCGCTGGACCAGTAGTGCCAGAATTGCCAGCTGGTCAGCTTGATGAGTACTTTGACAATTGGTTGAAGAATTTCGGAAATGGTAGTGTGGTTTATTGTGCACTTGGGAGCGAATGTTTCCTTCAGAAAGACCAGTTCCAAGAGCTTGTTTTGGGACTTGAACTAACAGGTACGTATACGACTATATGTTTATATAAAATTTGGTTCGCACCCTCCTTCACTGCAAGGCCCTAGATCCAACCTGCCATAACAAACCAAAGGAAATCGAACCTCTTTCATATAGGGAAGAAATGGAAGGAGCAAATAGTGCTCCATCCCCTCATCTAGAATGATGGGGTTGGATATTCGGCTGGTTTTAGTATGACAGTTCATTTTTTAAATATATATACAGTATATATCTATAAGTTCATGTTGAGTTGCAGTTGGTAAAGCTATAGAATGTTTTGCAAGGTGATCTGCTTTTAAATTCCACAATAGTATTATTATGATAAATAAAATCTGAACTCCAATCCCACATCTTTTAGTTGATTTCAAAGAGAATAATTGTTTGATGAAAAAATTACTAATCTCAGGTAAACCCTTCTTGGCTGCCCTTAAGCTACCTACAGAGTGCTCAACGCTTGAGTCAGCCTTACCGGAAGGGTTCACAGAAAGAACAAAGGGGAGAGGTATTGTTCACATTGGTTGGGTGCAACAACAATTGATCTTACAACATCCTTCAGTGGGATGCTTCTTAACACACTGCGGGGCTGGATCCTTGTCGGAAGCTATAGTTTGCAACTGCCAACTGGTGATGTTGCCTCATGCAGTAGATCAATCTATCAACGCAAGGTTGATGAGCCTTGATCTTAAACTTGGGGTGGAGATCGAGAAAAGAGATGAGGATGGCTTCTTTACTCGTGAGGCAGTTTGTAAGGCAGTGGCGACAGTCATGGAGGTAGAGAATGAAGTGGGAAGAGAGGTACGAGCAAACCATGCAAAATGGAGGGAGATTTTGCTAAGAGATGGACTCGAAGAGGCTTATATCAGTGGGTTCATACAGAGTCTGAAAGACATTCTCGTATAATCAGCTCAAGTTTAACTACACAAAGTCTAGATCTGCTGTTTTTTTTTTTTTTTTTTTTTTTTTTTTTTTTTTTTTTTTTTTTTCTTGTGCAATATTAAAAATGAATGTTTAAAATAAAGGTAGTAATTGTTGAACATGGAATTGTTTAATGCAATTTCATCTTCTTCTATGTAAGACAGAAGTTAAGGTTCAATACTAATTGTAGTTGTTGGTTCATTGGCATCTTTACTAGTTTCAGAAATGGACAAACACAAAGACTAATGTATGCAACAGCTGAAAAAAATAGCCTTGACAGTATAATAGAAATTATAGAGTAAACATAAATAAATAAAACAACAAAGGAAAGGAGTAGGATACATAATCGCAGATCCCGATTTGGATAGCAACCAGAAAGATAATGAGGTTGATGATAAGGAAATACAACCGAATTTGAGTATCACTGCTGTACAATTAATATAGCTAATCAAAGAGTTTGCAGGAGAACAAAGGATCTCTAAAAGGCAACTGAAAACATAGGGGTTGGACTGTTGGAGGTCTCTTGAATTTATAGTTGCTTTCCCTTGATCTCTTTACTACTGTAACTCTTATGAGAAACTTTAGTATAGACATTTGCTCTATGCTACTCCCATGAAAATGAGTATTTGTGATTGTTATCATTAATGGTCATCGGGTATTAAGGCTTCCTATGAATGGTGAAAAGATTGTAGAGCCATAACTCTAGGAAGATGAAAAGTGGTAACTCTCTCAATCTCAAGGAAGATATTATTAGGGGGTTGGAAGTATGACAAACACCATTCGATGACAACTTCATTTTTAGGAACTTCTGTGTGTTTCTGTGGTCAATTGGTCAACATAGAACAACACCAACTTCTTCGTGTTCTTGTACTCGTGCAATTGACGCAAGTTAGTACACAAGTGCTTAAAGTTTGCTTTGAAGAAATGACATGAGAATTGAAAAGGCTTTTACATCGCTGCACTTCCCTTCCTAATGGTAATATCAATATAATTCCATGTAAGTTCGTTTAGCTTGTCTTTCACTAATTATTTAAGGTGAAGTGAATATTGAGCACTCCATTAGGAAGAGAAGGACCATTGTAATAGAACTAGCTCAATGCGCCACTCCTTTCAAGCAAAAACTAATGAGAATGTAATAAATATCATTAACATAATCATCAATCAATAATAATAATAATAATAGGTCGTGTTGTGTCGGTTGCGGCTCAGCGGAAGCGAGACAAGTATGGGGCGCGTTGTAGGGCTATTAGCTATGGTTTTCTTCCTTTTCCCTTTACTTCATTGGGGGAATTAGAGAAGGATGCTGTTGCGTTGCTGAAGTGGGTTCAGGCGTTCGCTAGGACTCAGGATATTGGTGCTCGTGCGGCTGTTCACATCTTCAACAGGATTGGGTTCGCTATAGCTAGAGGGGTGGGGGCCCAAATTGTATCTCAGCTCCCCACTAATTTCTTGTAAATCATTTGACTTTGTAGGCTTTTGTTATAATAATAATAATAATAATAATAATAATATAATAATAATAATAATAATAATATTATTATTATTATTATTATTATTATTATTATATTATTATTATTATTATTATTATTATAATTATTATTATTATTATTATTATTATTATTATTATTATTATTATTATTATTATTATTATTATTATTATATACTAAAAGACACACCAACAATGACACATGTCATCTCCTGATGTGTCCTTAGGGTTTATTTTATTTTATTTTATTATAATTTTATAAAAAGATCTTATACTAAAATAATAGCTATATTCGTTAATATAACAATTACTTAAAATAAAAGATTTAATATACTCAGTATCTTTTAATATACAATAATGACAATTATAAATAAAAAAGTATTCCGTAATCAGATTTTTGTTGTGAAATAAAGAATGAGAGAGAAATTGGGGAGAGAATAGATCAGTCTATTATTCCATTGAGTAGGAAATATATATACATATACAATAGCTAGGGTTTTCTTAGAACACACTAAACCCTAAACCTAGAATATTTCAAAGTGTATAGGAATATAATGGGCATCCACAAATATTTCATAACACTCCCCCTTGGATGTCCATCATCGAAGACTGTGCTTCATTAAAACCTTACTACGAAAAACCCCGTGGGAAAAACTTAGTGAAGGAAAAAGAGTACATCATTCTTCGTAATACGCTTGCAATGCTGCCTCATTAAAAACCTTACCAAGAAAACTCAATGTGGGACAAAACCATGGTCAAGGGAAAAAGAGTGCAACGCGTAATTTCTCCCCCTAATGAATACATAACTTGAGTTCTTCTATTACAATGAATCCAATGCCGGTGGGTAACTTTTCATTTGTAGCAGAATAACATTCCTTGATAGTTGATCTTCCCAAATTGAATTCGAATCTTCAAGTCTTCATGTGAACAAGTAAGGCGTCTTCAATTTCACCATATTTATGATAATAATACTTGTGTTTGTCCACATCTCATTCGAAATCTTTGTTTAAAGTTGCCTTAATCATTACACGTATGCCTTCTTCTAGAGGCCGATGGACATATTTAGTAGAAATTGATGATCAATAATAGATCATAATTTAAGGAAACATATGATTTAATTGTCCAATTTTACATGATTTAGTGATATAAGATAACTACCCACATACATAACTAATGATTCTTCTGAACCATAAAAAAATTATTCTTACCAAAAGATATCTCAATGCTATTCTTTGAAAATTTCATATTTAATGTGAGAGTCCGCCAATGAATACAAAGATTAATTGAATCTCACATACTCAAACTTCAGGTTGAGATATTAATGATGTAGTCGTATTGACTTTTCAGGAGTTTGATAATATTTGCAATATTCAAGATATAAACTTTGTAGGGCTGGATATTTAAATACGATGTATATAAGTTTTTCAGGAACTCTTCTTACATGATTCATAACATGCAATTAATCGGCGTCATCAATAATTTCATCACAATTATAACCCCATTGGAATATAAATATCTCGTTCTAATTTTCCATCAAAGTTTGTAAATATGCCTTACTATAATTTGAATGAATATTCACATACACCACAATTATTGTATAGAAACTAATACATGCAATATGAGATATAGAAAACATGATAACATATTACACAAAATATACAATGAGTAATGCATCTAACAACTTCTAACACATGCATATGAACATATATAGGACTTAAAATAATGCAAGACACTGTACAGTGTGGATTTAAAAATTCATATTTCATTGGACTTCTGGTCCATGATAAACATTTAATTAATATCATTATGTCGACATTAAAATGGACATACATATTTCAGATCCCTTATTCACTAGTCCATTCTATCATGCATATGCATATCATTTATCGGTTCCATAGTATACCGGTATTATAAAATTCAGTAAGATATAATTTCGTATGCTAATTTACTATGATATCTGAATACATCTTCAATTGGCACCATTATAACCTTTTTTTTTCTTCATATTATAGGCCATCTATTATAATTCTCAGATATCTATATATCCCACTTCTATTTGGGGTATTTCATACCTTATGGTATTAATATCAACTGCACTATCTTGCTATATATCACATATATTGGAACCGATCTTACAATCTACACTTCAGGTGTAGTGATTCAATGAAAATAGGCATGATCCATCTCAATGTATGCACATTCTCACTATGACCAAAATATATCTCTCTATGCCTTTGAATGGGTCAAATGGTGTACAAATCAAGTAATAGATGTGCAACATATCTTGATACAAAAGTTAGCATGTAACTTTACAAAGTATCATTATAGCGATCAACTAAATATAATTTTGCAATTTTTTTCCCAACTTACTCCAGTTCTTCTCCCCATAAGTTGGTAAAATATCTCAAATATTGGGACAATTCTTCACCAACTTAAGAATATATTTCGCAGGATAATCATATTGAACAAATTTCACCTCTTCTGGAGAATAATGTAATTTCTATCTCTTCTGGAGATCAATCTTAATAGGGAGTCATGATTTTTGCAGTTGTCTATTTTCTTATTCTATTTTGTAAGTGCTGATATAAAATAGCCCCAATCAAGAGATTAATTTACTATTAAATCACTTGTATGAAAAGCCACTATATGGTGATTTTCTAATTCTCCAAATACTTTAATAATGAGTTTTTAATTACTCAAAATCTCTACACATACAAGTTGTTTTAGTGAGCTTCTGTCCACTTATTACTTGTTCACATGCAAAAATAAACTATTAAATCACAATCTAAATATAGCTCAATCTCAACGTTTTGTCTTGCCATTCAATTCATTTCATAGTATCTAATATGAGAGAGTGTCAGCACATTATTTTTTCATACCAAGTGAAAGTTCAAGTTTCCATGACGGGAAATTATTAAACCCGGATGACCTAATTTAATTATCACATCCAATCACTTCTCTTAATTTGAACTCTGGTCAGTTTTCCAACACTAGTGATCACTTTATTAAATTTACTTTATACATGGCCATGAATACGATGTAATATTAGAACACCAATATGTGTTTCTTTATACAATTAGCAAGACAATTAACTAATATTATCCAAAAATTACTCATACTCTGCTGGAGTTTTGATTATAATCTTGATACATGTTAACTTTGTTGGATATTTCATACTCTTCTGGAGTCTTTTATATAATCATGAAACATATGAATTTTACAAAAGTGGTTTCTTATAGAAATGTAATGGGATTTATCACTTCCTCAAATTTGTCATTGTCAATAATGGTTCCTTTCATTTTCAAATATACTTAATTACCTTTAGTTACTATGATCTATCACGCTTCAGGCGTGCTATGGACCCATCAACAATTGATGTTGTCCTTCTAGGACATCAATTTTATATTAGAGCATTTACAACTAGTATATGATCAATGACATTTATTTACATCCATTTTCAGGATGGTATAGTTTTAAAATATTTAAATAACATGTGGCCACTTTTATGAAATACATCGTTGATATTTAAGTTAATGTATGTACCAAACTGAACATCAATATATTTTATTATTTATGTGCAAGAATTACATAAAATAATGGAATAAATACAATTTCCCCTAATTCTTGCATGTGGGGCATGAAATGAATCCAACAACCTTTATATCTTTTCCACCTTTTAAGACATAAATTCTTTTAGCAATGCATGTATCAAGCATAATAA